TCCCTTTGTTTCTAATATTCCTTCGTCTTTTTCCCCATTTTTCTCAATTTTCCTCAATTTTCGCGGTAATTTGAATTTTTCTCATTTTTAAATGATTTTTTAGATCATTGATTGAAGGAAACAATCACAATTTAGATATTTCCCACAAAATTCGAAAATTTTTAAATTCGCCCAAAATAAGCTATTGTCTCTCGGAAATTGTTCGAACAGGCAATAAAACATTGCAAAAATTATAAAATTAATTTTTTTCGATAATTACCACAAATTAATTACCACAAAAATTTGAGCAAAACAATGAAAAACGAAGGAAAACGGAGAAAAATGGGAATTGCAATAAGATCTCAATTTCGCTAAATTTTCCCATGGAAGAGAAAACCCCGCAGCTCGGCCACGGCCATGGACTGATGTCGTCATCGCTCGCAAATTTTATTTTTGGGATTTTCTCCGTTTTCCTTCGTTTTTCATCATTTTCGCTCAAATTTTCGTGGTAATTTATCGAGAAAAAAAAAATTAATTTTTAATTTTTGTAATGTTTTATTGCCTGTTCGAACAATTTTCAATAGAAAATAACTCATTTTGGGCGAATTTTTGGGATTTTCAAATTTTGTGGGAAATAGCTAAATTGTGATTGTTTCCTTCAATCAATGATATAGAAAATTGTTTGAAAAGGAGAAAAATTTAAATTACCGCGAAAATTGAGGAAAATTGAGAAAAATTGGGAAAAATACGAAGGAATATTGAGAAACAAAGGGAATTGTAATAGAATTGAAAAAACAAGGAATTGAGAAAAATTGGCATTGAGGAAAGTATCGGCTGGGTTTTGAACTTAAATTAAGCATTAAAAAACTGAGTTTGTAAAATTTGTCAAATTGAGCTTATTGTCAAAAAGAACAATGTGACAATGAGAAGTGAAAAATTTCTGTCGTTCGAAATTTTCAGATACCGAAATACTGAAGTTCCAAAGTTCTGAAATTCTTTGATTTCAAAGTTCTGAAATTCTGAGATTCTTAAATTTGAAAATTCTCATATTCTGAAGTTCTGAAATTCTCAGATTCCGAATTCTGGAATTCTAAGAATTCTGAAGACAATGAAAAAAATTTCTGCCGTGATTATTGAAAATTCAGAAATATTGAGATTCTGAAGTTCTGAAATTTTGAAGTTCCGAAGTTCTGAGATTCTGAGATTTTGAAGTTCTTAAATTCTGAGATTCTGAGATTTTCAGATTCTGAAGTTCCGAAATTTTCAGATTCCTAAATACTGAAATTTCAAAGTTCTGAAATTCTAAAAATTCAGAGATTTTCAAGCTCTGAAATTCAGGAATTCAGAAACTTCATCAAAAAAATTGTACCCCCGAATCACAAACGTTGTACCCCTAAATAAAATGGGTTGCACCCCAGAATCATAGGTAGATTACCCCCAAATCGTTGTACCCCGAATTTTTGTACCCACGAATTTTGTACCCCCCGAATAACCAATTTTGTACCCCTAAATCAGTTGTACCCCCGAATCATTGTACCCCCCCCCCCCCGAATTTTGGCCATATTTATGTGGAGCAGTATAAAAGGGTCCTCTGTGAAAAAGGACATCCCTTCAAAATGTGTTTTGAAATCACAAAATTTTCGTACTTCTTCAGAGGAAATTAATCCGGGAACTCCACATTTCAATAGTAATTTGGTGAAACTCTATTTTTCGATGAAGATCTTCCTAAATTTTGGAAAAATTAGCAGATTTTCATGAATTTCGAACGGAACTTCGTCGAATTTCCGATGCAAAATTTCGGAAAAAACTGGCCGGAAAATAGAAGGGCCCCCTCTAATTGAAGGGCCCCTGTAATAGAAGGGCCCTCCTAAGGTACCTTGGAACAATAGAAGGGCCGGCCCTTCTAAAACAGGTTTAACGGTAAGTTCAGATTCTCAAGTCATTCTATTTTCCCATCATTCTCACTATTTATTTTTGTTGTTTTTCCTTTTCACAACCATAACCGAAAACAAATATCTTTAGGCAGGCGTCATGATGACCTATTGTTCATAAAAAATTTTATACGTAAAATTATATTACCCTTCATTACGGTCATACAAGGTCATACTAAGAAAGTGGACTATTGAAGGTGAGAATGACAGTAATAATGTTGATTGAAGTGGTCCTAGTATCTCACTTTCCTGTGGGAAAACAGATGTCAACGTTTTGGGTGAGAGAGCGTTTTTAGAAAATGAATGGGGAAAGAGCACCGCAAGAAAATTGGAGAATGAGGAAAGTTCTGAGAAATCGAGTCGATCCGTGAACAGGGTCAAAGTTTCTGATTGTTTGAAAAAAAATTTTCAACTAAATATGATTGATATATTACCTTTCAAATGAGGGAATCTTTATTATTACAAGAATCTTTATTATTTCACGATAAAAAATAATAACGTTTTGAAAACGACGAAAACAGTATAACAAAAATGTAAATATTTAAAATTGTGAAAAAATAGTGGGAAGAAAGCAGAAAAAGTAATGCACATTGGTCGATTTCTTGTTTAAATAATTTTGTTATGTCTGTAGGTTTTTGAAACTTTTTTTCCAATTTCCTCTCCGTAAAAAAGAATTCAAAATTACGTTTCCATTTCCGTTTTCCAAAAACTTTTTACCACGTTCTGTTTCTCAAAAATTGGACAGTTCCGATTTTGTTCTCGTTTTTCGATTTATCGGAGAAATGTGTTCCCTACAATCGATGGTAAGAAAGAATAGATTTTTTTGTAATTTGATTCAAGTAAGATGACCATGTCTCATTCGGAATGAAAATGCAAGTATTCGTATGTTCATATTGTTCCTTCGTTTCTGTCTTCATACAAACGTTACCCATCTTTCAACAACAACTCACACTTTTTATCACATTTTGACTGCCTTTTTTTCAGGGTTTCTGCTTCTTCATTTCCTTTTTCGAGGCATCTGCTCTTCGGTTCCATAGGAAACAGTCTCCGATTCTTTATCTCCCTTTTTTGGGTTTTCTTCTATTCAATTTCCCTTCCATTTCCCAAAGAAAGGTTCACTTCTTTGTTCCCCTTTTCGAGGCACCTGCTTTTCCGTTTCCTTTTCTGGGTCTCTGCTGTTTCATTTTTCATCTATTTCCCAAAAAAAAAGGTATATGCTTTCTTTTTTCCATATGTCCACTCATACTCTGCGTTCTCCATAGATGACACCGTTGTCACTTGCTCCACCCCTTTCTGCGCCGACTCTATTCGCTCCTCCCATTTTTGAGGAGTATATAAGGCAGGCGCAATACCTGTTTCTTCAGTATTCTATTGACTGGGTGTACCAGTCTTCCCCAATGATTTTTTTTCGACATCCTAACTATTCCCTCTTGCATTCTTTGATTCCAAAGGTAAGAAAGATTGTTTCTTGTGTTGATGAAGCCGTAACATTGTAATTTCTCACAATCACTTGAAAAAACTACTTTTTTTTGAATTTCCCATGTTTTTAGCTTTAAGTGAGTTTAATTTTTCAACTTTTGACGAAATTTGGTGACCGGATAGCCAGAGAGATTTTTTATAGATAAAAAATTATCAAAAACAGACCGAAATTGACCCAGTTAGGAACCAAAATAATAAAATATAGAGAAACAGGAAAGAAAGTAGGAGAGAAAGAAAGCATGGAAGCTCCGTCAAATAAAACGTTGGTTTTCAAAGAGATTATTTTTTAAATCTATGATTTTCAGAAGAACCGCTAGATGAGGAGGAAGTCTTGGAGCCGGAGCGCCAAGTACCAAGTCAGAGCACGGATCAGCCAATGGAGCTAATGGTGCAGACCAAAGAAGCGAAGGAGACCTCACCGTCGGAAAAGCAAAGTCCAGGTTAGTGGATGTTTTGGAGTGAAAGGGGAAAAACTGGGCCACGGCCATCCGCAGTACTTCAAATAGGGCACTTCTGAGATAGGCCTTCCTAGTGGACGTAGTGGTTTCTGGGGCACTGATAGGGTTTTACTATTAGAAAGAACGGACTGATTGGTCCACGCCAGTCTATATACGGCTTGAGTGGGTCACGGCCGACCGCGGTCAAGACTTCCATGGTCTAGGTTAGCGGTATAAGGTAAGATGATAAGGAAATATACTCATCGTTGAGGTTTTCTCGGGGAGATGGTTTCAATATATCTTCATTGTGCCCCGCCGGCTGTTGAGCGAGTTCGCGACCCCGTAGCTTAGCTGGTAACGTCGCTGCAAATCTAGTATTTTTCTCACAAGTTCCAATCCTTAAGAAGCTTCGATAGGTGTAGCTAAGGATTTTTCCTACGAATTGCTTTAAAAACACGATCAGATTTGTATCTCTCTAGTGCTCTGAAGCTGACAGTCCACCAAGATCTCATTTCAAATCCTTCATCCCTCCTTACCAGCAATTTAGATTTCTTGATTCAAACAGAAATTGAAAATGCCACCCAATTTTTAATCCAATTCTTACTCTCCTTTCAACTTCCACCGCGTCCGCTCGCACCATTCCTTTCTTCTCCCTCCTAGTTCAAAAAACAGGCCGCCGCTCTTTTCCTCCTTTTTTGCACCCCCCCCCCACTTTCTTTTAAAAAAACTAGTTATTTCTTCTGTCCCTTTTCGACCAATCCACAAAGACGGGCAGAGCAAAAAAATGTAGTTGTTTTTTGCAGGAGCGGCGGACACGGCGATCGAATCCATAGCGCAAAAGTTCGAGGGGACCGCAACGTTTGTAAAAGAAGGAGGCATACCGAGAACCGAAAAGCCAAAAAAGAAGCACAACGGCGTTCGGAGTTAGAAGCTATGAGCAACTATGGTGAGTTTGAAAATCTTGAACTTTCTGTAAATATACCAGATGATGAGCCTTCCAGAGTGAGATGATGAGTTTCCAGCTGAAGAGTCAGTGTTGCACGTGACGGTGCCAATTCCACAGGATTACCACCACCCAATTCATCCACCGTCTCAGCACACCACAGGTTAGCTTGGGCTTAACTGTATCTTTCCAGTTTTCCGCTCTAAATTTTCTATTCCTTTAACCAGAATCCCTCTATTCCCGACATTATAGAACTGTTTTTGATTGTCCATCATTGCCGCCTTCCTCATTTCTCCCCAGACCCTTTAGAATCCTCTTTCGATTGCCCAGAACCTAAGGATCCTTGCCTCTCTTCCATTACATCCCGGATTTCCAAATATTCTTGTCTTCCCCATCCGATTCATTCCAAATAACTTCGTTTTTTTGTGCAATTTTCCCTCTGCTACAATTGCAATTTTTGGTTTGCCATCCATCCCATTTCTCTTTCTGAATACAACCTAACTATCCCAATGTTTCCACGGTTTATGTATGCTTTCGATGTTCAAAATTTGAACTTTTTAAAAAATAATAAACTATCAAATAATCTAAACTTTTTCTGTATGTTCAACCAAAATAAGAAGGAAAACTTTTTCTTTGGGGGGTTTATTTCTGGGGATTTTTCGGAAACAATGACAAGATAGCAAGACAAGAAAAATGAAATTTTCGGTTCAGAACCAGTAGAACATGCTTAACAAAAAAAATGCGAGGGGAATTGCACAACAAGGCAACATGATGAAAGAAGAAGGGATGACAGGATAGTCTAAAACAGCAAGAAGAAGCTAGAGTTCAACTTTCGGAAAAATTGGATTATTGATCGGGTGGAAACCAAGGGTACTGGGGAAGGACATAAAAACTAACTGGGGGAGATGAAGAAGCTATGGGATTAGCTATGGGAGCTATGGGATTGACACATTTGAAAGAAAGTATATTTGTCCCAGTAAACTTCATCTTTTGACTATGTACCAATTTTGACACAATCCCTTTCTATCTGTTCCAACTGTTCTTAATGTTCTTCTCCCAAACCCTTCTCCAAAGCTCCAAGTTTCCCTGTCCCCCGCTTCTTCGCTCCTCATCTCTGCATTTTTCACCTATGGCTTACCCACATCTACGATTTCTCAAGACCTCGACTCAAAGCCTACATCAAGACTCGATTCTGCCCTTTGTTATTTGCCCAGCTCAAACTTGAATTCTGCCCAAATTTCAAATTCTGTGCTCCTCACACTTTGTGATTGTTCAAAATCCGAACGATCCCATTAATTTTCCCTTTCACTTCATCATGTACATATCTTGAAGCCCATATCCTTCAAATTTCCAATCTCGTGTATTTTTCAGATTCGTTCACTTTCTTCCATGTCATCGTTCACTCAGCATTTCCCCAATCACCGTGATGTTTTGATCTTGGTTGGTTTTGAGTTATGTAGCCTTCTCTATACGATACTGATGGATTTCATTTTTGCGTTTCTGTTAGGTTTCTGTTAGGTTTCTTTTTTCCATTTGCATGTTTTCAGAAGATTACCAAAGCATCCATTTGAAGAGGCACAACTGATACTAAACGGTGCGAATTTTTTAGGTAAGAGTACTATTCCTTTTCCACCTATTTTATAACATTTCGGGGTACTTAACGGAGCGTCGTAAATGTCATAGTGGGCGGAATCGGAGATGACAGAAAAAGCGAAAAAGAAGTACTCGGGAATAAGGGTCTGGGTCTATATTTTGCAGTTTGCCGTTTCTAGGATTACGGTAGAGTTGTTATCTCCATCATTTTTCCAACCTCGTTCCCATTTTCCCAGATCATTAAACTTGGGAAATTTCGAATATTCCCAAACAACGAAAAGGGTATAAGAAGGAGTTCCCATGACATTTTCTCCCAATCATAATTTTTTTCCAAAAGTGTTCATATTCAAATAACACGATGCAACCAACACCTGCTTCCCCCCTCGAAGTTTTTTACGGACCTTTTTGAAAGAGAGAGAAGGGGACGAAGAAGTGGGGGAAGTGGGGGATGTTGTCGAAACATACACCGGCTGTCACATTACTCGGAGATTTTTGAATTTGAATAGAAAAATAAGAGAAGGATACTGTAGATGAGAGAGCGGGTGAACAACATGAATTAAAAAAAAGAGGGATACTGTAGATGGGGATGGCTGTGAGCAAGATGACATAAGAAAGAGGATTACTGTAGAAGGGAGTGTAAGCAAAATAAATTTTTGCAAAGGATCCAGGCTGAGGGCTAGATTGGCTTACAGATTTGAAATAGCTTTTTTCAGCTTTGCGAGAATGAACATTCTTTGGTTGTGAAGATTAAATGGTTCCAAATCGGCCAAAAGAGTTACCGTAATTGCTCAAATAGAACGCCACCCTATATTTGCTACATATATGAGATTAATTATCTCGATTTCGGTAAAAGGTGTCAAAAATGTTCAACTGATAAAATGTTTATCATAACATATGCAACATTTTATCTGTTGACAACTTTTTGATATCTCTTATAGAAACCGAGATAATTGATCTCAAAGTAGAAGATATCCTAAAGTAAATGATTTAATAGAAGACCACTCTTTAAGTTCACTATGAGCTCACTTATCTCGGTTCATATGAGTGATATCAAAAAGTTCTCAACTGATAAAATGTGTATCATAAAATCATCCAAATTTTATCAGTTAACAGATTTTTAATATCTCCTATAGAAATTAAGATAATTGAGCTCAAATGCACGTCGGGGCTTCTAGAACAAAAACAGTAGGTTTTTGCTACTTGGAGCCAAATTAGGGTTTTTTGGTTGTTTAAATCTCCGTACTGATTTTTTCTTCTGTCATTCCTCATTTTACCATTTTTTAGTCGTTTCCAAATCATTGTCAACATTATTTCTATCTCACCCATATGTCCCTCTCTCCAAAGAGGCCGCAAGATTGAGATCAAGATTGCACCTGTTAGATAAAACAACTTAGTAATCAGATTTTCTTAGTTTTGAGAATTATCTCATGTACTACGTGTAAATTCAAGCGCGTCAATAGTCAGTAGCACTTTTTTTTTGAAAAATTGAATGTCTGAAAATCTAACTTAAATTTTTGGCGCTCAAATCCCTTCAAATACTCCAAAGATATCATACAAATTTCAGTGAATTCGGCACGCGAGGACTTACGATTTCGAAAGGTTTTGATATTTTAACTCACTTTGAGCTAAAAATCCAATTTTCAACTGGAACTTATATACTGTTTTGAAACTTATATACCGCTATACTGTTTTGATTCGTCTTCTATATCGACGATGTCGTCAACAAAAATAATGTCACGACACGCTTTTATTCCCCTTCCCGGAAACAATGTTTTGTGCTGAATTTTCACACGACTTTTTCAAACATTAATATACGTTTTGGGGGAGTTGCCTACCATAAAATTGTTTTGGATTTTAGAAAATGAAAAACTCAGCCATCTATTAGGTTGAATAGAAAGTTTCTTTCTTTCTCGACGACGTTTTTGATCAAATTTTTCTTGAAGCAGAGAGGACTAGATCAATGAAAGTAACATTTGTGAGCATTGACAGTTGTCTGACAACGCTAAGATAATTTCTCGATTCCATTGGCCTAGAACAAAGAGGGCTGAGATTGAAAAAGCGAGCCAACTCCTTTTTTGGGGAAATACTCATTAGCTTGATGATCTTTTGCTAAATGCTCATTTGCTAAATATGCTCATTTGCTAAAATCGCTCATTTGCTAAAATAGTCTCACTTGCTAAATTTCGTTTACTAAATTTTGATCATTTGCTAAATAGAGGATTTGTTCAAACTGAAGGCTTAGGCTGAAACTCCTTACCGGAAAACAAGTGTTTAAGCCTAAGCCTAAAATTCAAAGCAAAAACCGGAATATTCTGTAAAAAATTAGTCAAAAAGTACTGAAGTTAGCAAATCACAGCAAACTTTCCAATTTTCATTTTTAGCAAATGATCAAAATTTAGCAAATGAAATTTAGCAATTGAGACTATTTTAGCAAATGAGCATATTTAGCAAGTAAGCATTTAGCAGAAGATTAACAAGCTAATGAGTATTTGCCCCTTTTTTGTGCCATCTTTTCGATTGAATTTTTTCTATCAAGATGACGTTCAAGAGCTCCAAACGTTCATTTATATGAAAGGGCAAGGTCCGGAGAATCCGACAAGTGCAAATGAATAGTCCCGCCATGTCAAATTAATTTTGGTCGATCCCTCTAGTCATGGGCGAGTTCGCACTGTCGTGCTGGAAGTAAACCTTGACTTTTGCACCTTGTTTCGGTTTGACTGCCAGATCTAATTATTTTATTTAGGAACTCTAAAAAACGGCAGTATTTCTGTGATTGGTCTTCGCACCTCAATAAACTGAAAACGAATTTCTGGGACCATATTCCTTTTGTTCAGCTCTTTTCTGTTCCTAATTCCCCTTGAAATGGGATATTCTATGAAGTTGGTGGTCTTTCAAAAGAATGAAAAATGGGAACTTTTAGATGTATTAGGTTGGCAGGAAAGTAACTGTCCCTTGTTTTAATTGTGAATAATACAAAAACCAGGTTAAGCCAAGATTAGCAGTATGCACCGTCGTGGTCCTCAGCATGTTGCCAACATTTAGGTCACACGTGAATACCATCTCTCCAAAAGCCGGCTGGGTGCGAATCAAGGTATTACTGTAGCACAATTTTTTCTCATCGATAATGTTAAAGATTTTGTTTTATGTTAAAGATTTTGTTTTATGTTAAAGATTTTGTTTTAACCAATGATCAGATAAAACAAAATCAGAACTTTCACGGGGGTAAAGGAGAACCGTCCAGCCAAAGCGGCTGAGGAACGACGTGACTTTCCGTGAACATGCGGTTTTTTCATTTTTCAACGACAGGCAAGTCAGACCTGAGCCGCTTCAGCGAGACGGTTCTCCCTCACCTAGTTATAGTCCTGACTTGTCTATAAAACTATAGGTTATTCGGAGATTTACGAAGTCATCTAGAGGGTGATGAATTTTGCATCATTAATGAGAAAAAACTGAAAAAATGAAATCTTTGATCCGCGGCTAGCTCGCTTAAGGAGAAAGGGTATCCACAAGATACCTGAATGTTGCCAACATGCTATGGACCACGACGGTGAATACTGCTATCTTGGCTTAGCCTGGTTTTTGTATTATTCACAATTAAAACAAGGGACAGTTACTTTCCTGCCAACCTAATACATCTAAAAGTTCCCAGTTTTCATTCTTTTGAAAGACCACCAACTTCATAGCATACCCCATTTCAAGAGAAATTTAGGAACAGAAAAGAGCTGAATAAAAGGAATATGGTCCCAGAAGTTCGTTTTCAGTTTATTGAGGTGCGAAGATCAATCACAGAAATACAAGATAAAGAATAAATAACTTTATTAGGGTACTTAAAATTTTAATTCTGAAAAAAGGAGGCAAAAATGGCATCAGAAGATCAAAATAGATGACTTATGAGAAAAATTTAGTGGGATGGAAGAAAGATAGGAAGGTGGTGAAATGACAGAATCGGGAAAAAAAACTCTAAAACAAAAACTACTCACACGGGTTCTGGGGAATCAAAGGAAGACAATGGGAATCTAGGGAATCACAGGAAGACCACCTCCTTATTGATTTGGGATCGAAGCACAATGAGCCCTTGTGCTGCCTGCTCTTTCTGAACCTTTCCTAGTTTGTCCATTCCTTGGTCCACTTTGTTTTCTCGGCCATCTTCAACTCGGACCAACGAGTGTCTAAATATTTTGGGATCCAATTTTTAAGTTCGATTTGATTCACTTACATTTCTCGCGCTTCGATAAATGCCCTCGGTAATAAAAATGAGCGGCTGAGGCTTCTTTGACAGACTGTGGGACGGGCCCATTATTCTCCTTGTAGACGTACGACGTGGTTTCTGAAATCGATCATATGAATATGCCGAAATAATTTTAAAAATTCTTACTGGCCACTCATTTTTCTCCGATTCTAAATCCATTACCCTTTCTTTTGAATCTTCAAACGATCTATGATTATCAAAAATCGCTCGTCTTAGCAACTAAGTTGATATGGTTTCTGAAAATGAATCGTTTTGAAAAAAAACTTCCCCTCTATAAAAAATCTCTCTGGCTATCCGGTTACCAAAATTCGTCAAAAGTTGAAAAGTTGAATTCACTGAAAGCTAAAAACAAGGGAAATTCGAAAAAAAGTAGTTTTTTCAAGTGATTGTGAGAAATTACAAAGTTACGGCTTCATCAACACAAGAAACAATCTTTCTTACCTTTGGAATCAAAGAATGCAAGAGGGAATAGTTAGGATGTCGAAAAAAAATCATTGGGCAAGACTGGTACAAACCCAGTCAATAGAATGCTGGAGAAACAGGTATTGCGCCTGCCTTATATACTCCTTAAAAATGGGAGGAGCGAATAGAGTCGGCGCAGAAAGGGGTGGAGCAAGTGACAACGGTGTCATCTATGGAGAACGCAGAGTATGAGTGGACATAGGGAAAAAAGAAAGCATATATCTATTTTTTTTTGGGAAGCAGGTGCCTAGAAAAGGGGAACAAAGAAGTGAACCTTTCTTTGGGAAATGGAAGGGAAATTGAATAGAAGAAAACCCAAAAAAGGGAGATAAAGAATCCGAGACTGTTTCCTATGGAACCGAAGAGCAGATGCCTCGAAAAAGGAAATGAAGAAGCAGAAACCCTGAAAAAAAGGCAGTCAAAATGTGATAAAAAGTGTGAGTTGTTGTTGAAAGATGGGTAACGTTTGTATGAAGACAGAAACGAAGGAACAATATGTACATACGAATACTTGCATTTTCATTCCGAATGAGACATGGTCATCTTACTTGAATCAAATTACAAAAAAATCTATTCTTTCTTACCATCGATTGTAGGGAACACATTTTTCCGATAAATTGAAATACGAGAACGAAATCGGAACTGTCCAATTTTTTGAGAAACGGAACGTGGTAAAACGTTTTTGGAAAACGGAAATAGAAACGTAATTTTGAATTCTTCTTTACGGAGACAAAATCGGAAAAAAGTTTCAAAAACCTACAGACATAACAAAATTATTTCAACAATAAATCGGCCAAATGTGCATTAATTTCTCTGCTTTCTTCCCACTATTTTTTCACAATTTTAAATATTTACATTTTTGTTATACTGTTTTTGTTGTTTTCAAAACGTTATTATTTTTTATCGTGAAATAATAAAGATTCTTGCGTACAACAAATGTTAAAAAAATCACTATATTTTAATTGAAAACGGAAAAAAATTCAAAAACCGTTGTTTTTAGTTTGTTACGACAGTTTTTAGACTTTAGCCTGAATTCCCTCATTTGAGAGGCAATATATCAATTATATTTAGTTGAAAAAACTTTTTTTAAACAATCAGTAACTTTGACCCTGTTCATGGATCGACTCCATTTCTCAGCAATTTCCTTATTCTCCAATTTTCTTACAGTGCTCTTTCCCCATTTATTTTCTAAGAACGCTCTCTCACCCAAAACGTTGACATCTGTTTTCCCACAGGAAAGTGAGATACTAGGACCACTTCAATCAACATTATTACTGCCATTCTCACCTTCAATAGTCCACTTTCTTAGTATGACCTTGTATGACCGTAATGAAGGGTAATATAATTTTACGTATAAAATTTTTTATGAACAATAGGTCATCATTACGCCTGCTTAAAGATAGTTGTTTTCGGTTATGGTTGTGATAAGGAAAAACAAAAATAAATAGTGAGAATGATGGGAAAATAGAATGACTTGGGAATCTGAACTTACCGTAAAACCTGTTTTAGAAGGGCCGGCCCTTCTATTGTTCCAAGGTACCTTAGGAGGGCCCTTCTATTACAGGGGGCCCTTCTATTTTTCCGGCCAGTTTTTTCCGAAATTTTGCATCGGAAATTCGACGAAGTTCCGTTCAAAATTCATGAAAATCTGCTAATTTTTCCAAAATTTAGGAAGATCTTCATCGAAAAATAGAGTTTCAACAAATTACTATTGAAATGTGGAGTTCCCGGATTATTTTCCACTGAAAAAGTACGAAAATTTTGTGATTTCAAAACACATTTTGAAGGGATGTCCTTTTTCACAGAGGACCCTTCTATTACAGGGGGTCATTCTATTTCTCCAAGCCCCGCTCGGAGGGTTCCTTCTATTAGAGGGGCCCTTCTATTAAAAGGGCTTTCCGAATACAGGTATCACGGTTTCCAACAACCTCGTAACTGTCTGCGATCCATCTGGTGTGTTTCCTAGACCATGTGGACCAAAAAAAAAAACTCAATTTGAAAAGTTAGGCCAGAATTTCGAAATGAGAAAACAGTTAATTTGAGGTCATAAAAAAAGTGTCCTAGAAAACTCAACTCGAAAATATTAGGGCACCATAATAAAATGGCCTAGGAAACCCACTACACGGTATCCCACAGAACACTTCCGAAATGCAAGTTATTTTTTGATCTACCGAAAAAAATGTGGCGCAATCACCAGAACAATTGAATCGTGGCTATCGATTATTATAGTGCATGTTAGCGTTTTAAAATTCTGAATATGACTTATCACCCGGTCACGGTGACCGTATTTGGTGAGATATGCTCAAATTTTGAAATTTTGTCGATTTCGGAGCCAAGACTAACAAAAATTCTACATCGACCGGATTTTTAAGTCGGAGGTGCTGCCCCAGTCCCAACCACGTCTTGTAAACAGCAAGTGGACATTCAAACAGTACGGAGTGCCTGCACACACTGCGAAGCTCACTCGTCAGTGGCTCCAAGCCAATTTTCCGAATTTTCTCACTAAGGATTGATAGCTAGCTTCACTAAGGATTGATAGCTAGACTCAATCCGTCAAATTTTTCGTTATGGGAATGTTGGACTCAACAAGTCTCCACAAAAAATTCCTAGTTTAGGAGCTCTGAGTAGATGCTTGACCGCGACATGGGACAATTTGGACGTCAACTACCCCCGTGTCGTAGTCGACTACTTCTTGAAGGGACTTTGAGATGTTATCAAAGCGAAGCGAGAAAAGCTCAAAAACTGTTAATGCTGTCTTTTTTGTTGTTTCTCAATGAACATTGCGGTTGAATTTCAGAAAAAAATCGTTTGATTTGACTTTTTTACACTGTCTTGAAAGCGGCGCTATATTTATTCCCCACCATGTAATGGTAGCAAACACAATTTATTTGTTAGAACTTTTTCCACCGAAAGCACAGTTGATTTCTGCCTAGATTGGAATCGCATGAAAAATAGCGCAAAAGACAACTTTTACTATAATTTCTCCTCAAAGAACAAAAACCATTACGTGTGTACTCTAATAGAAGGGCCCTCCGAGCGGGGGTTGGAAAAATAGAATGACCCGATGTAATGGAAGGGCCCTCTGTGAAAAAGGATATCCCTTCAAAATGTGTTTTGAAATCACAAAATTTTCGTACTTTTTCAGTGGAAATTAATCCGTGAACTCCACATTTCAATAGAAATTTGTTGAAACTCTATTTTTCGATGAAGATCTTCCTAATTTTGGAAAAATTAGCAGATTTTCATGAATTTTGAACGGAACTTCGTCGAATTTCAGATGCAAAATTTCGGAAAAAACTGGCCGGAAAAATAGAAGGGCCCCCTCTAATTGAAGGGTCCCTGTAATAGAAGAGCCCTCCAATGGTTCCTTGGAACAATAGAAGGGCCGGCCCTTCTAAAACAGGGTTTACGTTAAGTTCAGATTCTCAAGTCATTCTATTTTCCCATCATTCTCACTATTTATTTTTGTTTTTCCTTATCACAACCATAACCGAAAACAACTATCTTTAGGCAGGCGTCATGATGACCTATTGTTCATAAAAAATTTTATTTTCAAAAAAAAAATTTTATACGTAAAATTATATTACCCTTCATTACGGTCATACAAAGTCATACTAAGAAAGAGGACTATTGAAGGTGAGAATGGCAGTAATAATGTTGATTGAAGTGGTCCTAGTATCTCACTTTCCTGTGGGAAAACAGATGTCAACGTTTTGGGTGAGAGAGCGTTCTTAGAAAATAAATGGGGAAAGAGCACTGTAAGAAAATTGGAGAATAAGGAAATTTCTGAGAAATGGAGTCGATCCATGAACAGGGTCAAAGTTACTGATTGTTTAAAAAAAGTTTTTTCAACTAAATATAATTGATATATTGCCTCTCAAATGAGGGAATTCAGGCTAAAGTCTAAAAACTGTCGTAACAAACTAAAAACAACGGTTTTTGAATTTTTTTCCGTTTTAAATTAAAATATAGTGTTTTTTTAAACATTTGTTGTACGCAAGAATCTTTATTATTTCACGATAAAAAATAATAACGTTTTGAAAACGACGAAAAAAGTATAACAAAAATGTAAATATTTAAAATTGTGAAAAAATAGTGGGAAGAAAGCAGAGAAATTAATGCACATTTGGCCGATTCATTGTTGAAATAATTTTTTATGCCTGTAGGTTTTTGAAACTTTTTTTCGATTTTGTCTCCGTAAAAAATAATTCAAAATTACGTTTCTATTTCCGTTTTCCAAAAACGTTTTACCACGTTCCGTTTCTCAAAAAATTGGACACTTCCGATTTCGTTCTCGTATTTCAGTTTATCGGAAAAATGTGTTCCCTACAATCGATGGTGAGAAAGAATAGATTTTTTTGTAATTTGATTCAAGTAAGATGACCATGTCTCATTCGGAATGAAAATGCAAGTATTCGTATGTACATATTGTTCCTTCGTTTCTGTCTTCATACAAACGTTACCCATCTTTCAACAACAACTCACACTTTTTATCACATTTTGACTGCCTTTTTTTCAGGGTTTCTGCTTCTTCATTTCCTTTTTCGAGGCATCTGCTCTTCGGTTCCATAGGAAACAGTCTCCGATTCTTTATCTCCCTTTTTTGGGTTTTCTTCTATTCAATTTCCCTTCCATTTCCCAAAGAAAGGTTCACTTCTTTGTTCCCCTTTTCTAGGCACCTGCTTTTCCGTTCCCTTTTCTGGGTCTCTGCTGTTTCATTTTTCATCTATTTCCCAAAAAAAAAGGTATATGCTTTCTTTTTTCCATATGTCCACTCATACTCTGCGTTCTCCATAGATGACACCGTTGTCACTTGCTCCACCCCTTTCTGCGCCGACTCTATTCGCTCCTCCCATTTTTAAGGAGTATATAAGGCAGGCGCAATACCTGTTTCTTCAGTATTCTATTGACTGGGTGTACCAGTCTTCCCCAATGATTTTTTTTCGACATCCTAACTATTCCCTCTTGCATTCTTTGATTTCAAAGGTAAGAAAGATTGTTTCTTGTGTTGATGAAGCCGTAACTTTGTAATTTCTCACAATCACTTGAAAAAACTACTTTTTTTGAATTTCCCTTGTTTTTAGCTTTCAGTGAATTCAACTTTTCAACTTTTGACAAATTTTGGTAACCGGATAGCCAGAGAGATTTTTTATAGATAAAAAATTATCAAAAACAGACCGAAATTGACCCAGTTAGGAACCAAAATAATAAAATATAGGGGAACAGGAGAGAAAGCAGCAGAAGCGCAAAGGAAAGTAACTGTCGATTTTTCAATTCGTGAATAACATAAAAACAAGAATTAACCAGAGTTGACAGGATGCACCGTCGTGGTCCACGACATGCTGACAACATTCAGGTAACTTGTGGATAATTTCAGAACCCTCATCTTCATCGCTACCATAATCAACGTCATCATGAACAGCCAAATTGCTCGTATCAACAAGAAAAGTTAGTTTTTATTTCGAAAAGCTAGTTTTTTCGGTTTTTTTTAAACTCATTTTCAGACAACGTGACCGAGACTCTCCTGAAGACCCTTGTGAGAAAATTGGAGCGCAAAAACGCCCACCAAGGAAAGATCATTACATTTCAAACTGATCGTGAGTTCACTTATCGGGAAGTTTTTTTTCAAAACGATTCATTTTCAGAAACCATATCCACTTAGTTGCTAAGACGAGCGATTTTTGATAATCATAGATCGTTTGAAGATTCAAAAGAAAGGGTAATGGATTTAGAATCGGAGAAAAATGAGTGGCCAGTAAGACCTTTCAAAATTATTTCAGCCAGAGTTGTTGCTATCAAAACGGAGGTAGTCAATGAGAATGAAGAGGATATCCGACCACTGACAACCAGTAAGACCTTTCAAAATTATTTCAGCATATTTATATGACCGATTTCAAAAACCACGTCGTACGTCTACAAGGAGAATAATGGGCCCGTCCCACAGTCTGTCAAAAAAGCCTCAGCCGCTCATTTTTATTACCGAGGGCATTTATCGAAGCGCGAGAAATGTAAGTGAATCAAATCGAACTTAAAAATTGGATCCCAAAATATTTAGACACTCGTTGGTCCGAGTTGAAGATGGCCGAGAAAACAAAGTGGACCAAGAAATGGACAAACTAGGAAAGGTTCAGAAAGAGCAGGCAGCACAAGGGCTCAATGTTTTGCGGATTTCTCTCCCCGTTTCGAGAATATTAGCTTTTACAGAAAATGGCTCTTCGTAAAAACAAGCCAATCATCCAAGTTCGAGGATATGGAATGCGATTCAAAAAAATGAACCAAAATGAAACAGAGCTTTTTTACTGTGTCGAGCGGTAAAACATTGCAGCGTTACTATAAAACAACTTTTTTTTTCCAGAGAAAGAGGAGCTCAATGTGATGCAGCTTATCATTTCGACAGAATGAACAACACGTTCACTGTTAAAAAGCAAAATGTGAGACACGACGAGGATTTTGTCAGAAGTGAAGTTAGTATCAATCTATAGAATGTAACAGAATAGTCGTCACAGCAAACGATTTTACTTCAGGCATTCCTCGTGCGCCAGGAATTGAAAAAATGTGCGATTGATGGAAAACCCCGTGAAGTAAGAGTAGAATGGAGATTATTACAAAAGAGTAGAATGGAGATTATTGATACAATTTAAAAAATAGATATGAAATAAAACTAGCTCTAATTTCAACCGAATGGTCAAAGTCAACAATTGGCAAAGGATGAAAAAGGATATGGCAAAAAAATAGTAGGAGGTTTGAGGAATGTTTTTAATGAAACTCTTTTTTGAGAGATTTTAAGGAAGAAAAAGGAAGAAAAAATATTAAAAATGAACGCCAATCTTTTGAGCCTTCGATGACAACTTCTTCTAGCAACCTTTTTGGGATTTTCCGTCCTTTCTGTCCCCATTCGACGACGAATATCTTGAAGACTACCGCCAGCTTTCGGACCGAAATCCATGGCCATCAACAGTGCAGCCTCAGTCTGCAACTTGATATCCTGATCCACGTTTTTTTCGTTGACTAGAAAACGTCCTTCATCCGATTGACTTTTTTGTTGATTTTATCCCCAAGCTTCTCGTATCCACGATCCACTCTGATTTGTTTGATGTATCCATTCATCAGTTCGAAACGCGGATCTGGCGCCCTGAAATGATGTTCAAAGTTAGAGATTTTGATGTTGGTCCAAAATGAAAAAAGAATGTCTTTTTAGATCAGTGAACTTCTTGTATATCAATTTTCTAGAAGGAAAATCCTTTTATTCATTTGAAAAGGATATATTCACTTACTCAGCAGTGTCCGGTCGATAATGGTCTAGTGGGTATAGGTACGGAGTGCCATGCTTTGGAGGATCCTCTTCAGACACCTCGTACTTCCTCCTGATTCACTCTGGAACTTCTTTGAGTACGGTATTCGGCCCGTATGCTGGTTTTGGATCTTGAGCGTTGCCGTTGGTGATCCGTGTAGCTGGAATTTTTAAGTCCAGAGGTTTTATGAAGTCCGGCTCTCTGGCTTTGGCTTTTCTGGTCTGAGAGAAAAATCAAATGAAAATTGCGTTTTTATTTTCAAAAGTTCAAAAATCTATGTATTTGTTGCCCGTGATGAAACTTCCAGAAACGGCACAGAGTTGATATGAAAAAAAAAACTAAAATGTTCGGTTTCATCCAACAAGACATATTATTTAGGTATTTAGAGTGAAATTTGTAAAATTGAAGAAAAACTCACCTTTTTCAAAATAAATTCTCACCAACAATAGATTTTAAGTAAACCTTTTAATAGAAGGGCTTCTAGAAAATATTAAGAAAATAATAGAATATAGATAATACTCAGGAAAATCAATACGAGAGATACTCTATAAAATCCATGCACTTTTAGGATTTTTGGAGAGCTCTCGAGAATATGTGAGACGTCTATTCAGTCAAGTCGTCATGAGAAGAAAATGAATACTATTGGTTGGTACCTGACGGTTTATATACCCCTGGGGGCTGAGTCTTGTGAGTCCAACCAGGTGGGGTTGTACTTGTGGAGGGTCTCTCTTCACCTATTCAATCATTTACAGTGTCAATGAGACTCACAATCTCATCTTTATTGTTTTCGGAAAATGACCATACAAATGAGGTTGAATCACAATGTAACAGGAAGTGTGATTTGCATTCACACTTTACATATCATCTTTTATTACATTTCTATTCTAGATACACCTATTGTTTTAGGAGCGTAATCATGACGAATCATATAGTGTCTTTCAGAATCTCAGATCAGTGTCATTTAGAATCACACTTTAGATACAACACATCTATTGTGTTATGAGCCTAATCCTGACAGATTCCATTGGAAACGGATAATTTTACTAGGAGAAATGTCTATATCAAGACCAATAGATTTATAGAAAAAAGAAACATCCAGCAAAAAACCGATTGGGCCTTTTTTGAAATCGACGAATCCTTGAAAACGGAAAGCTTGTAATTCGAACGTATTTTTTACAGATTTATACAGGTAGGTATTTTTTATAGGTTTCTACTAGTTTTTCAGGTTTTCTAGAACTGCAAAAATGCGAAGCGTTTGAAAATTCTGAAAGTGTTAGAAAGTTGACATTTATCAGCTTCTTCAAAGGAGAAATATGAGAACAATATAAAAAAAACTTCGTTTTGGAACTAACTTCTAGAACTCAAATTTTGGCCTTTTATCCACTGTACCGAAAGAAATCCGGTTGGTGTTGCGGCCTAGGGGCGCGCTCTACGTCACTTTTAGCCGTTGTCCATTTCTTGTTTCTCAGTGTATACAGATGTTAAAGAACTACAATATAGAACATTGCCCATAATATGAAGTATCATTTAGAATCACAGATTAGTCTAGATTCACGTTCTAGCACCTATTGTTTTATGAGTGTAATCTTGAAACAATTATGAACAGTAAATGTTTCTTATGGGAAAATCCACATAGACAAGGGATTGGAGATACCAAAAGGCATGTTTGGAGTAATCTGCCATCTCTCTGTTTTCAGTTGAAAAAGCTCGAATACTCGAATTTCGATCTAGAGAGCAGGCAGAACCTCATAGTAGAAAGTCGTTTTTTCGGATTGAAATCATTCCAAAATTCATCAGGAGATCATCTTTGTGCATCCGGAAAGAGACGAGTGCTAACTTAAGATATCCAGCTGAAAAGAAGACACGTCACCATTCGACTGTCCACACCAAGAAAAAGAAACAGAGCTGATGTTCTCGTTGGTTTACCAATCGTATTAAAAAAATAAAAAAAACCCAATTATTTTTAACTGCCCATCGGGCACATCATTTTATTGAGTTTTTCCTTGGAAACATCAAAAAGAGGCACAACAGGAGAATGCAAAAGTCACCAGAATTAGAGAGGAATGGGGGAAATGGAAGAAATGTTGGCGAAAAGACAAAGTTTTTTTAAAGCAGAAGAACGGAAAAATTGAACATAATTGACATGGTTCTGGCATAGAGAGAGTAGGGTGGGGGGGGGGGGGGGGAATTCGGGGATTCGGCAGAAAAAAGAAACATTTACTCGACATCAAGAACTTCTTTGATTGGCTTGAAGTTCTTCTTCTGAAGGAGCCATTTTGCGAACTGAGCCTTCAGGGCAAATGGAGCCAGCAACTTGGAGAATTCGAGCAGGATGTTGGTCACTTCTTCGTCGGACGTCGCATCCTTGAGTCTTTGTTGAAGTCTGATTCCAGAGCTGGCGGAAGTTCTTGATTGCTTCAATTGGCTCAGCGTTGTGTATTCCGCTTTCATCATCACCAGAATTTGTTGAATGTCTTCTGGGAAATCGGCTGACAACGGATCTTCGGCAGCTAATTTGACCAATTGAATGGCTCTCGAGAACCTTTGGATGTGGTTTCCCACATCCATGGTCCCGGAGCAAATCCAGCAGACCAAGCAGCGGAAGAGCTCCTTTTCCGCAGCATGCTCCTGTGGGCACATTTGCTGAAAGACGAAGAGAGCAGCCACTTTGATCGCTTGATGCGGGAACTTTTCAGCTCCAATTTTCAAGCTGCGGACCATCTTCATGGAGCTCATTTCACACATGTTTTGAACTCCCGGTGGCAATTTTTGGAGCCTCTCTTTGTCGATGACGAGGTCGAGAAGAGCATTGGTGTCATGAGCTGAAAAATATATTGATTGAGTTTTTGTTAAAAATCACATGAGATTTTTTAAAATGCAAAATTTTTTTACAAAAGAACCTCAACACCTCGTAAACTCAAATTTTGACGAAATTTGAAATTTGCGGAGAACAGCCTATCTATACGCATCAAAAATTTTAGAATCCGCTCACCGCACCAAAAATCGCATTTTCAGTGCTAAAATAGCGGTTTTCAAATATGATTTTCTCAACGTCCACAACCATGGGATTTGTTGTGTCATACGAACTGAGAACTGAATGAAATTCAATATTTCAGTATTTTCTTTCATCATTTCGTTTTTCTAAATTCTCGAATAAATCTGAAAAATCGTGGCAAAAAATTGAAAAAAATTTTTTTTTCAGAAGATATCTGAAATATGAAATTTCAATCAATTTTAAGTAGACCACAACAATTTTAATGTTCTGGATAGTGCTAGGGTTTGAAAAAATCTTTTTTATTTGAAAAGCGCTGTTTCTCTGAAACAGCGAATTTGGTACTGAAACGAAAATAGCTGGGCTGAAACCGCCGAGCGGGTTTGTGTCTAAATAGGCTATTCCCTATCCCAATATGTGCATCAAAATCTGGATTCGAAAGGTGTTGAGGTTTCATTGCAAAACTGATTTAACCCGGCTGGAACTAGCAAGCGGAATTCAAAATATTCAGATGTGTCTAGACAGACATAAAAATTCTTTGAAATCTGGGTTAACAAGATATGAAGTTTTCCTGATAGATATGATGTTGGAAAGATTGTCTTGTGTTGAAAGACCAAAAATGAATTTTTTCTAATTATTTTTCTTCAATTACAATAAAGTATAAATTTACCTTCGTTTGAGGACACATCGGCAATGAACTTTTCGATGAGCTTCGAAGAATCCAGATTGGCAATTTGGAATCTCGCAACAAAGTTCTCAGCTTCGACCTTTACGGAGTCAACTCCTTCTGGGTCCTCCTGTTGATCATCTTCAGCCTCCTGGTCTTCGGTGTCCGACGACTCAACAAAGATGGGGTCTCCCAAAGTTCCGTCTCCACGATGAGCTTGAAGACGGCGGCGATTGTCACGTCTTCTGGATGCAATGGCTTTTTGTCTTTCCTCGATTTGAGCCATATGGTCGTCTTCATCCAATTGCTCCCAATCAATGTACTCGATGTTCTTCTTCTTTTCTTCAGTGCCTTCTGTGTCGTTTGAGGACACATCGGCAATGAACTTTTCGATGAGCTTCGAAGAATCCAGATTGGCAATTTGGAATCTCGCAACAAAGTTCTCAGCTTCGACCTTTACGGAGTCAACTCCTTCTGGGTCCTCCTGTTGATCATCTTCAGCCTCCTGGTCTTCGGTGTCCGACGACTCAACAAAGATGGGGTCTCCCAAAGTTCCGTCTCCACGATGAGCTTGAAGACGGCGGCGATTGTCACGTCTTCTGGATGCAATGGCTTTTTGTCTTTCCTCGATTTGAGCCATATGGTCGTCTTCATCCAATTGCTCCCAATCAATGTACTCGATGTTCTTCTTCTTTTCTTCAGTGCGAATGACGAATGGAGTTTGAATTCCAATCGATCTCTTATTATAGGATACTTCAGGTTCCTCGAGATCCTCTCGAAATTTTGTGTTTGACACTTGGATGCCACTTCCCCTTTGAACCCCATTGTTGGATTGAATCCAATCGAACTTTGTCTGTGTTCTTCTACTGGTTTTGGGGAAACGAGGAACAAAGCGCTGAAAAACGTTTGTATATTTTTCTGAACCTTCTGTGTACGAAAACTCACTTGTTGATTGATTTCTTTGATCCTTGCTTGGATCATCTGGGAGAGGGCCGGCGGAAGAGTCGATTGGCGGCCCTGAAAAATTGAATTGTCTTGCTTCAGTACGATTTTCAGAAAGTTGAAAAACAAATCTTTATTTTTATTACTCACATTAGCCATTGAAGCTTCTCCATTCACGAAATCGGGGAGCGCCACATCTTCAGCCATAGGAGTCTAAAAAGAAAACAGAGTTGCTTCGGAAGTCATAGTTTCTGATGATACCCTTACAGAAAGTCGAATTATTGAAATTTTATCAAAAATTTCACCAAAAATACAGAATTTTGATATGTTAGAACCAAAGGGACAAAGAATTATTCATTTTGACCCGGTCTGGCCCATGAAAAATATGGTAAACTCACATTGACTTCTCGGAAAGATCCCTGATTTCCTTCTCCAATTTGATTCTGGCGGCTTCTTTTGTTGCTCTGGAAATTAGGACTTTTTGAAAATGCTCTGGTTCGGACAGAAAAAAAAATGTTTTCACAAAATTCATAAGGACTAAATAATTTCCAAGGTTTTTAAAAACACTTTTTTGTCTTTATGAACTATCTTAGTCTGGCTTGGTCTCGCTTGACTCAGCTTGGCCTTGCTTACTCTAGCTTTTATCGGCTCAGCCCAACTTGACCCAGCTCAGCCCAGCTTGGACTAGCTTAGCATAGCTCAGACTAGCTTAACCCGGCTTGACCCAGCTTGACCTATCTTTGTCTGGCTTGGTCCCACTTGACTCAGTTTGGACTAGCTTACTCTAGCTTTTATCGGCTTAGCCCAACTTGACCCAGCTCAGCCCAGCTTGGACTAGCTTAGCCTGGCTCAGACTGGCTTAGCCCGGCTGGACCCAGCTTGACTCTGCTTTGCCGAGCTTGGTCTGGCCGACTTTAGCTGGTCATGATCCAGCTAACTTTTCATTTCAATAAAAAAACTCACATCGATTTCTGATGCAGCAGCTATGTTAGCTCTTTTTGACATCTTGGTATCTTGACGGTAACTGAAATTATTTTTGATTAAGAATTCTGAAAAATGCTGAGAATAAAAAATTTAAAGTATGAAATATCGTATTCAACGACAGTCGGAAAATATAATTAAAAAATATTTTGAAAAAAAAACGTCTGAATTCATTAACGTATTGAATAAAGGAATTAATGGAAAAGAAGGCGGATCATAGGGATGAAAAGGGCGATGGGCGAAAAGAGCAAAAGAGCGAAAAAGGGATTGGTGAAGAGAAAACCAAAAAGACTGCAGAATTCTAGACAGCACAAGTAAGAAAAACCGGCGAACAGTGAAAAAAATTAGAATCCATAGCAAGGTACATGCATTTTATGACATCTGGACGAGGCGAAATGATGGCTGGGTGTGGACGGCTCAGTCGCAATCGGAATACATAATGATTATCTGGAAAACGCTATTTTTAACTTTGAAATAGTCAAATCAAAATCCCAGGACTTCAGAATCACAGGACTCCAAAATCCAGAATCCAGAATCCAGAATCCAGAATCCAGAATTCCAATAAAAGCAACTCACGTGAAATGCATTTTCTAGAAAACCAGTTTTGAAGAATCCACAAGCTCTTTAAACGAAAGCAAAAAGAACTGGGTGTTCCAGTAAAAACTATCGTCATTGTAATGATCCTCTGCGAAAAAGTCCGCTACTTCGAACAACGGTAGCCTTCCGGTGTATTCAATTCGGTACTGCTGATTGATGTTCCGCTCTTTTATGGATGACCAGACAGGTTCCCAATGAGCATCACTGCAGTATTTCCGAATGAGTTGCTCCGCCTCCTCAAAGCAGTCGGGGGTTATCCGCGGGCATTTGATTCGGGAGAGCATGTAGATCAGTGCGCCGATGTGCTCAGACGAAATGGGGTACCAGATTGTCCGGGATTTGACGAACACTTCCCGTTGGGACAACTCGTAGAGTTGGACCTTGTGCATAAAGGTCGTCGCCAAAGTGACCGCCTCCTTTGAAAGTGTCACGTTGTTGAACTCAACAGAGTCGAAGAGAAAATCTCCGAGCTTCAAAAACTCTTGTGCTTCTGGAGAATAGGTTACGAGCTGACTGGCTGGAATCCGGACAACTCGGTCCATGAGTCTCATGAAGGCGCAAAGGCCATTCTCCAAATCTGGTTGGTCTTCTTCTTCCATTTTCTTCTTCAGTTCTTCTTCTTCCTGCTTCTTCTTCTCTTCCTCTGACAGTGGCGCTCTTTCTTCTTCTTCATCCTCATCCTGAAAATTTTTTATTGGTCAGATAATTTCTTTATGAGCAACGTGATATTTTGACACGGCTTCGACAAATTTGGCTATACATTTTTTTGAAACGAATACATTTTAACGTGATGGCCTAACTTTTACGAGTTGATTTTTCTAGGTGACCATGGTGAAATGACCTAGAATTGGTCTGATGGAATATTTTCAAATGGAATATTTTCTATGTCATTTTTAAGTGGTGGCCTAACTTTTGGGAAACCCAGAATGCAAAAGTTGGGCCATCACTTCAAAATAGGTTAGAATATCAGGCCAGTTTTAGGCCATTTCTATTTGGTGGCATAGAAAACTAAACTTGCAAAAACTGGGGCATCACTTCAAAATCACACTTTTTTGCATAGAAATGGCCTAACACAAATTTTTGAGTGTTTTCTAGGTCGTTTTGAAGTGGTGGCCTAACTTTTGCAGATTTGTTTTTCTACTCGGTAAATGTGGGCAACTTCTTCCCCAACTCTGAGCAGCTATTGTCCTAACTCCAGGCAACTTCTAGCATTTCATAGGTCAAACGCTGCCCAGCTTTAGGAGAGCTTCTGCCCAGCGTTTGCCCACTTGTAGACAGCCCGCTCTGGCCCCTTCCATTCCCGCTGTTCCCCTTCTTCCTGAAACATGTTAATATTTGCTAGCTTTGCTAAGTAATATACATTTTATTTTAGAAATTTAAAAAAATTACAGAAAAGAATGGAAAACAGAAAAAATAAAAATGATAGAACACAAGAATTCGAACAAAGACACTTATAAGTAGATCTCCTGGCATAGCCATCTGGTACTTCAACTCCTCGTTTCGATTTGTCATCTTTCCACGTCAAATGGGTTGAACACTCCGATGTTTTCTGCAAAACGTTGAAGTGTAGCTCTGATGTAAGTGCGGGGGTCGTAATCAGCAACATTCGATACCGCATATTCAAAGTCTGAATTACATACAGTTACAGATAACGCGTCTACAAAACTTTCGCTTCTACAACGCTTACAAATTTGAACTGAAACTAACTGAAGAAGTCCATTGTCGGCTCGTTTGCGTCTTCAGGACCACTACTCTCAAACGCTTCATCCTCTTCCATTACATCGTCCTTTAAATCTTTCGTAATTGGGTTGTCATAAATTTCTTCTTTTTCAAGTTGACTGTTCCGTTTCGTCGTAGATTCTAAAAGTGAGTCAATGTGAGCCTTAATTTCGAAAAAAAATCATACCTCCTTTGTGGGATACTTCTGATGGGATTTCGTAGATTTCTTCTCTTGCCATCTGATATTCCATCTCTTAAAATGAAAAATGGCAAAACTCATCCTTTTCTATGCTCACCAATGGCTTCCCGTTTTTTGTTCGCTTCACCCGATTCCACTCATCGATGACAGTAACCCAACTGTTCTCTTGTTGAAAACTGAAAAAAGAATAAGAAACTGACAGTATTTGAAAAAATTTAGAGATAATCGTAAGCAAATTCATAGAAAAAAAAATGTTTAAAACTGATAACCGTAAAAAATGTTGCATCATCGCAACCTCCTGAGCTTCTGCCCAGCGTCTGCCCAGCCGTTGCCCCTCTGCGCGCCGTTGGTCTATTGCCCAACTTCTGCCCAGCCTTGGACCAAAGTCTGCCCGCAGCCTAATTCACCTAACTTCTGCCCCAAAGTTGCCTACATTTACCGAGTAGGCCACCTCTTCAAAATGGCCTAAAAATGCCTTAACATGACCCTGGTCTGTTTTCTGGGTCATTTTGAAGTGGTGGCCTAACTTTTGCGAATTTGGTTTTCTAGGCCACCACTTCAAAATGGCCTAAAAACGCCCTAACATTACCCTCATGTGTTTTCTAGGTCATTTTGAAATGGTGGCCTAACTTTTGCGAATTTGGTTTTCTAGGCCACCACTTCAAAATGGCCTAAAAATGCCTTAACATGACCCTGTTGTGTTTTCTAGGTCATTTTGAAGCGGTGGCCTAACTTTTGCAAATTTGGTTTTCTAGGCCACCACTTCAAAATGGCCTAAAAATGCCTTAACATGACTCTGTTGTGTTTTCTAGGTCATTTTGAAGCGGTGGCCTAACTTTTGCAAATTTGGTTTTCTAGGCCACCACTTCAAAATGGCCTAAAAATGCCCTAACATGGCCCTGGTCTGTTTTCTGGATCATTTTGAAGTGGTAGCCGAACTTTTTCGAATTCGGTCTTCTAGGCCACACTTCAAAATGGCCTAAAAATGCCCTCACATGACCCTGGTCTGTTTTCTGGGTCATTTTAAAGTGGTGGCCTAACTTTTGCGAATTTGGTTTTCTAGGCCACCACTTTAAAATGGCCTAAAAATGCCCTAACATGATTCTGGTCTGTTTTCTGGGTCATTTTGAAATGGTGGCCTAATTTTTGCGAATTTGGTTTTCTAGGCCATCATGATAAAACGGATTAAAAAGACACCAAATGAATATGAGATCAATTCTAATATGAGATCAATACCAACAAATGTGGTGGCCTAGAAAACCCAACATGCAAAAGTTAAGCCATCGCTTCAAAACGAGAAAACATGTCAGCAACAATACTCCGAAATTCCGCTTTGCGCATTTTTTTTTTAATTTCGAGGAGCAAATTCATCGAAAACATTTCGTAGAGAAATTTTTTTCGGGAACTGTTTTTAAAGGGATTCATTTGTTGATAACTTTTTGTTCGAAAATTCACAGACTATCTCTTGAAAAAAGCATTTCTCGAAAAGTTTTTCATGATGTCAGTTTTTAAAGTTTTTTTTTTTGAAGATGGTTCTGATTTTACTTACGTCTTGCAAGCCGAAAACCTCATCGGCCTCCCAAGACTCAACGATCCATCTATCGTCCTTCTTCTTTCCACTCATCTTGACGAAGATCCTTTTGACGAAGAAGGTGTTCTGGAAACCAAATTATAAGGTATTGATGATTAAAAGTACGATACGACAGATAGGAGAAATTGATAAGAATGCGGTAATTTGAGATAGTCGAAACGAGAAGGACACATTTGCTGCTGTATAACGAGATACAAAAAATAAACTAGACAGGAAGTCTAAAAAAGAGCACAACACCAGGATATCGATTCACAGACTAGAGATTTGCTCTTTCTGTGCTCTTTTGAACAACGTTCAGAGGACAGCAGGAAAAAAAGAGAAAAAGGAGAGAGGAAAAACAATGTGGAGGAGGCGAGATTGTATAATTTTAGGGTTGAACTAGAGAAGTGTAAGAGGCATAATTGAAAGGGACGAATGAACGAAATATCTAATAGGAAAAGTGTTTTGCAGAGCTCAAAGAGAGAAAAAAATGGAAGCATGGAGATTAATGGTGTTTCGAAAGTTAAACCTGTCATAGAAAAGCTCCGACGCTGCCAAGATTGAGCTCAATTATCTCAGTTCCTGTGCAAGATACCAGAAATATGTCAACTGACAAAACACTTCTGATATTGTAATACAGTTAACATCTTTTTTATGCCTCTGACAGGAAACGAGATAAATTGGTTCGAAATGGAAAGTTAGAGAACCCGTCCATAATAGATTTTATAGTAGCTGTTTGTACCAAATTACATCTAAACCACGTTGCGATCATTACTGACCTAACTTTCGGAAAAGGAGCTTTCTAGGCCACCACAATAAAGTTACCTAGGAAGCACATCTGGGCATGTTAGGCTATTTTTAGATCATTTTACCATGGCGGCCTAGAAAATCCATCTTGCAAAAGTTAGGCCATCACGTAAAAATGACCGAAAAACGAGAAAAAATGCAACGAAGCTCCGAAATTCCGCATTGCGAATGTTTCTGAAAACCTTGAGAAACTCATTCCTTGAAAAGTTTCTCAAAATATTTTTCAAAAAATAATTTTTCCGATAAATTTTTATTGAAATTTTTTCGTTTATTTCTTGCCAGATGGCTATGCCTGGAGATCTACTTATAAGTGTCTTTGTTCGAATTCTTGTGTTCTATCATTTTTATTTTTTCTGTTTTCCATTCTTTTCTGTAATTTTTTTAAATTTCTAAAATAAAATGTATATTACTTAGCAAAGCTAGCAAATATTAACATGTTTCAGGAAAAAGGGGAACAGCGGGAAGGGAAGGGGCCAGAGCGGGCTGTCTACAAGTGGGCAAACGCTGGGCAGAAGCTATCCTAAAGCTGGGCAGCGTTTGACCTATGAAATGCTAGAAGTTGCCTGGAGTTAGGACAATAGCTGCTCAGAGTTGGGGAAGAAGTTGCCCACATTTACCGAGTAGAAAAACAAATCTGCAAAAGTTAGGCCACCACTTCAAAACGACCTAGAAAACACTCAAAGATTTGTGTTCGGCCATTTCTATGCAAAAAAGTGTGATTTTGAAGTGATGCCCCAGTTTTTGCAAGTTTAGTTTTCTATGCCACCAAATAGAAATGGCCTAAAACTGGCCTGATATTCTAACCTATTTTGAAGTGATGGCCCAACTTTTGCATTCTGGGTTTCCCAAAAGTTAGGCCACCACTTAAAAATGACATAGAAAATATTCCATTTGAAAATATTCCATCAGACCAATTCTAGGTCATTTCACCATGGTCACCTAGAAAAATCAACTCGTAAAAGTTAGGCCATCACGTTAAAATGGCCGAAAAACGAGAAAAAATGCAACGAAGCTCCGAAATTCCGCATTGCGAATGTTTCTGAAAACCTTGAGAAACTCATTCCTTGAAAAGTTTCTCAAAATATTTTTCAAAAAATAATTTCTCCGATAATTTTTTATTGAAATTTTTTCGTTTATTTCTTGCCTTTTGACTTTTTTTTGCATTCTCAGAGGTTTTGTTTTTGGAAAATACTCCGTTCTGAGAAATTAGGTTATTCTAAATCCTGGACGTTTGTAATTGCTGATATATACGAACTCATAAAATTCCTGAACCTAGGTCACTCCACCTATCCACACTATAAGTCAAAAGTACAATAACCATGCCTTTTTTCTGTTATCTTATCTTTTGCGTCGCAGTCTTTCTTTTTTATCTCTTTCTAGGGCAGTCATCTCACCAATCGTCTTCTCCAGTTTCATTTTTGTTTGCAAATAGCGGAGACTCTACCTAGACAACGTTTCTTTTTTCTTCTAAGACAGCTTGTTCTAAAATTGAACTTTTCAGAAATGAGTTTCCTCGCCCGTCTCGTTCCAACTGCTTCTGCCAGAACTGCTCTTAGATTTGCATCATCTGGACGATTCTACACCAAGAAGCACGAATGGATTCTTGTTGACAAGACTGTTGGAACAGTTGGAATCACTGATTTTGCTACGGTAAGTTAGATTAAAAATTGGTTAACAAGTCTCTAGTTCAGGAGCAATTAGGTGATGTGGTTTTCCTGGAGCTTCCAGAAGCCGGAACGGAAATTGAGAAAGGAGACTCAACTGGAGCAGTGGAAAGTGTAAAGGTGAGCTTTTGTTAGGAGAGGAAACGGGAAAATGAGCGGATGAAGAGAGATAATATAGAGTTATGAATTTCTACAGTTTGTATAAAATGAGCGGTGAAGGCCATCCACTGAAGGGATAGGATTAGATGAACTAGCTAGCGACCGGAATTGGAGTGAGTACTCATATACCAATTCTACCTATTATGTTATTGAAAACAAGTCAAACAAAAGCATAGAGTACAATGGACCGCAGAGTGCGTTTCTAATTGAGTGTTCATTGGAATGTTGGTTGATATTCTCCAAGCATCATATACAGTACCGGTCAATAAGATAAATCTTGATTTTCAGTTAATTTTGGAACGTTTTCAAGAGTCCGGAGCTTGCCTATCATGTTTCCAATCACTCTGAAAATTTGGTAAGGTGTAAAACAGATCAAGATTGAAAAATTTGCAATTGCAGAGTTTTTCGAAAATTCCTAGTTTCCCAGCAATTACCCATGTTCTGAAGGACACCTTTTTTGGGTCCTTTTCAGTAGTGAAAACGTTTAAAAACCGCTTGTCTGCTTTACAGTTTTCAAAATTTTCAAAGCGGTCGGAAACTTGTTGAGAAGCAAAATACACTTCTGAAAATGATCAAAATAATCTAAAATTTGCGAAAATAGTCCTCTAAAAATGGCCAAAATGGCCCAAAAGTGCATATCTTAAGAACCGATACTGTATCCGAGTATTTCGTAAAAGCAATAACTAGAAAGCTATGCGCGTTCTGACCTTTGATGGATTAAAAATGGATCCATCAGTATCCCATTTGTTCAAATCTTACAGGCTGCTTCCGACATCTACGCTCCAGTGAGTGGAACTGTTCTCGAGAAGAACACAAAGTTGGAAGAAGAGCCAGGAATGATCAACAAAAGTCCACTGGAGAAAGGATGGCTTTACAAAGTGCAAATAAAGAGTGTTGAAGAGCTCAAGGAGTTGCTCAACGAGGACCAATACAACACTTTCAAGGAGGAAGAGGAGGCGGCTCACTAACGCGATTATCGATTTTCTTCTTTTTCCCTCCGTTTTTTCGGTCTTTTGGTGTCAAATGCAGATAGGCGACCATCTTCTTATGACTATCATGAAACTGATTTCTCAAATGTTTCTTCTCTTATCAATCGTCACACTCAATCTGCACCCGAGGCGCCTATGTCGTTGACAAAATTTGATAGAAAAGCGGCGGTTGGGCAGAAATACAGATTTTTTAGATTGATTGAGAAAAAAACTGGTTTTCCGTTCGCCAATTCAACTTTTTAAAACCAGAAAGCGCGGAAATGTTTTGAAAAACTTACTCATGCAGGTAACATTTGCGAAAAAACGCACATTTGTTAGGAAATGTTTATCAGATTTTATCAGAAAGATAAAATCAAACATTTCGTTCAGAATTCGGGTTATTTTCCATATCGAACGTGGCATATGCCAACGTTTTTTTTGTGTGAAAAAAAGAGTACGCAAACACTCCGCACTCGTGATGCATCAGATTCTACGACAATTAAACGGAAAACTTGTAAAACACGAGAAACGACGCAATTCAGCAAAAATATGACGTTAATTAATTTTTTAAAATTTTTTTAAAAATTAATTAACATCAAATAATTGTAAACAAATGCTCAAGAAAACAATTATAGCGTTCGAACAAACGTTCCTAAAAAATCTCCCGTCGTTCTCGGTGTCTTCTGTCTGCATGCACCGCAGAAAGTGTCGCCGCACCCTCCGCCGCATATCGGACGCCACGTTGGATGACGTTTTTTCTTTATTTCGTCATCAAAATGCGAAATTTATATGCAATAATGAATTCAAACGACTGGGAATTTGTTCACAAAGAAACACTACAAAAAATAATTACTGAACATTTTTCAGAAACTTTTGATGTCCAGGAGCGATGAAATAGACAATTTTAAGGAAAACTACTGAATTAAGGAATCGAAGTTGAAACATTCAGCAAGTTCGCTTTCAAAAAGAAAAAAAACTTCGAGGAGAATTCTCATTGCTTGAATCCTCGCCATTTGCAGCTAACATTTCTGTCAAACAACGCTCAGACAGTCGAAATCAGATGCCGTGAAAAATTTTGCGGGTTGACAGTCTAATAAATGATATCGCTATCCTTCTGAAAGCTTGAAAAAGACAGAAATAAACAGAAAAATCGTCTGGAAAAGAATTATTGCCGAAAAGTCGAAATTTCAAACTTAACGTGGTTTTTCTAATACGAAGAAATCCGCCCAAAGCCGTTTATTTTGAGCACAGTTATCTCGGATTCTGTGAAAGATATCAAAAACTTGTAAACTGAGAAATAGTTGGTGGTATTATGATAAATATTTCATCTGTTGACAAATAATTGCTATCTTCTACAGGAATCGTGGGTTTCTAGAAAAAGAATTGATAACTTCGATAAAACTTGGGGTACTTAACTGTACTTAACTGCAGTTTAATACTTAACTGCAGTTTTTAAAATATTTAACTGCAGTTTTTTGCATTTGTTGCCTCAACTACAGATTGCTTTTGAATGAATAAAATGAAACCAGGAATGAACCGAATTTTGAAAGAGCTTCACCGACGTCGATTACTCTGAATTGCAGTAAACACTCTCATAGCACGCCACTCGAATCGTCAAACTGGAGCCCATGTATCTGATTTTCTGTAAGAGATATCAAAAAATAATCATTTGATAAAATGTTGCTAATGTTATGATAAACATTTCATCAGTTCACAACTTTTTGATATCTTTCAAAGGAAGTAGATATAGAGACTCAAAGTAAACGTTCCTGGTGGCGTTCTATTAGGGTGTTTACGGTAAGCTATTATTTTAAACTTCAAGGTGCCTATAACAAAAAGATTAGAAAGTGATGCAACATCCCTCCACTTCAAAAAATCCTGGATCCATAACCGTGCTCCATCTTTTTTTGGCTATTCAACAGTTTTTTTTTCAGAAATTGCACAACTATTTTGAAAAACTTACTATTAGAAATATCTGGTCTTTGTGAAGTGCTTTATGCTAAAACTGCTCGCGGTTTTGCTAAAATCCAGTAGAACTTCATTTTCGTGTTTTCTCATTATATGGATACTTGCAACGGGCCGGCTTTTTCCAGAATTTCCAGGATCCGGCCAGGATTTTTGGAAAAAATTTTTTGGGGTCAACAAAAAAATGGGCAATTTTTCTGCCAAGAAAACATTTTTCAAGATAAGAGTGTCCATAAAAATAGTTCTTGCACAAAAAAATTGAAAATCTTTCTCAAATTTCACATTTTTTTCAAATTTGAAGAACCCAAAAAAACGCAGTCGAATCGCATAGTTATCAACAGCCGTGCTGTCATTGTATATTAACCAACAAAATCGGTAATCGAAGAGCCCTGTTCACGGAATGCGCCTTTTTCGAAAGGAATGAGTAGAAAATCCTGAAATCGTGTAAGCTCAATGCAACAGATACAAAAATTTTGAGAAAATAAACTCACATTTCACGGAAGGTCATAGTTTTCAGAATCTCTGTACACGGATCATTGGGAAGACGTTGGAGAGGGAATTCCCGGTTGTTCATGTTTGGTAGAATGAATGAATCAATAGGCTAGAATGATTGATGAGAAAAAAAGGCAGTGGAAGACAAACTGAATAAAATAGAATAGAAGACCCAAGATTGTCTAGGGGTTAATCAATAAATGGTTAATCAATAAAGTCAGGTCTTGAATGGAAAACGCGTATCTGATGCGAATACGACGTCGAGTGCGAATGAGAATGCACAGAGTGACAAAGTGTCAGAAGGAATCTCCAGGGAAGAAATGATCCCAGGCGACATGACATGTTGTACCGATTAAAGAAGACATTGCAGTTAGCAGAGATTAAGGTACAGTGCTCTGGTTCTGTTCTAATTTGGACATTTCTGAACTTTATTAGATGCAAATGTATTTTTACGCAGAAAACGGAAAAAATTTCTTGACGACGAAGTTTAGCTCTTGAAAAATTTCGGATGGATTTTTGGATGTTTTTTTTTCAAAAATTCGGAAAAAATAGAAAACGATCATGAATCTGAAATATAAGGTTTTCAACATGATTAGAAAGTTTTAGCCAAAAATCATGTTACACTCTATTGGTATACAATTCTATTCATGGCATGAGTGGTCAAATTGTCAATTAAAGATTTTAGGCTTCTTCGCTATCTCTACTGCCGCTTAATAAAATCTTTATGGCCAGAAAGTGATCTGAAATCGCAAAAATTCATTATGTCACTGTCTCTGAGTAAATCTCTCAAGTCAGCTGAAGTAAAAAACATTTCCAAGCTTAAATTTGAAATTTCTAAGCTCTCATTATGAAAAAAAATTGACTTCTTCTTGGTAGAATCTTTTCACTCCCAGACTCTTGAAGTTTCCAACATACTTTTTTCACAGAAACTCTCTTGTCTGTGTCACCCGGAAACTTTAATAGTCATTTGCCAACCACGTGGCAGCTTCCTCATATTCTAATATAAACAATTCAATCACATGAAGCATCTGAAATATAAACGATTCTTATTTTTCAAGCATGCTGTTTTGGTTTCTGTTTATGATTTGCCACCGACGAGCTCATTTTTTTCTTGTTACGTTTTTATTTCATTTCTTTCTTTTTTTTTTTCAAAAAATAGGTCATAGGCATTTTCAACCATAAGAGTACAATGAATAGAATTTTTTTTTCTTTTTCTATTTTTTTTCTACAGTTCTTATAATAACATAGACAACGAAAAAGCATACATGTGGATGGAAAAAAAGTCAATTTAATTGAATTTTTAGCAAAAAAGTCAAATTTCATTAAGCCAAGGATGAAATTTTTTTTAAAAACGACCTCAAAACAGTTTTTTTTAAACAGAATCGACCTCTAGTGTGGATTTTTATTTATTAAGGAGAAAATCCATCTTGAAAAATGATGATTTGCTCTAAAATTTCGAAATTTTCAAAAAGCGGGCCGGCCATGTGTAATTTTTTCCGGCCCGGCCCGCTTACAAAAAAGTCTCGGCCCGGCCCGGTCCGGCCCGCGGGCCGGCCATCTTTTCCACAAGTATGCGAAAAAGTGACCATTTTTTCTTTGATTACCAAATTCTCAAAATCAGTCTTTTTATGTTTTTCACAAAGAACACTTCATTTTCTTTGCAAAAAGTGTTATGTCCAGTTTCGCAATATTGCATCCCTTTTCGTAACCACGGCTTTAGGGTATAAAACAAAAATTGTGCCACTGACAAAGTTTGAAATGTTGCGTTTCTTTTGTTAGCTCCCATTCATTCATACAAGCTTATTAAATTTTTGTGCTTGTAAACATTTTTCAATCAAGGTATGTGAATCCGTTTTCGTATGGTATGAGAGCAAATGGAACAATAGAAATTTCTGGCGAATTTTTGATATTGCCAATGGTTTGAAGCACATGTTTTGAAGCTCTGTAAGACGAAAATTAAAAGAGAGAAGAGCCAATGAGACCTTGTCAAATTGTCTGATGTCACGAACAATTAATCTTGTCTGAACCATTGGAAAGGAAACAGAATCGAAGGTTTTTCTTTGTTTTTTTATAGATTTTTGTGAGAAGGACGATGCACAAGAAGAAAAAAAGCTGGCGCAGCTTTTCGAAATTAAATTATTCCAGTGAGTAGTCACATCCGAATGTGGTTTTTTGCACTTCTTTTGGTCGAAGTGGTCTTGTAAGAGTTTCCCCAAAAAAACGAGAACTGAAAAGAGAAGGACAAAAAATAGATAATGAAATTTTCCTGAACTTTTTTTCTAATGTTTTTTTTTGAGGTTTCGATTTGTTCAGTGTTATCAAAAAATACTTTAGAACCTCAAATGCGAGAATCCAGTAGTCTAAGTTTTTCACCCAATAAGAATCTGTATTAAAAGCGCCCCGCACTGCCACGTTTGAGCAAACATATCTCGGTTCTTGGGAAAGATGTCAAAAAGTTGCTGACTGAAAAAATATTTTTGATATTTTGATGAACATTTTTTCAGTTGACCACTTTTCAATATTCTTGACAGGAAATGAGATAT